ACACCCCCCCCCTCCTGCATCCCCCCATCCTCTGTCTTCTGCCACAACGTTCCTCCACCATCCACACATCACAGATCTGTGTCCTGAGCCCATCATACTCACAGCCTCCTTGCCCTGAGTCCCTCACATATCCAGCCCAAACTCCTGCACCTTCACATCCACAAGCCCTGGCTTGCTCCGCACCCCAACCTTCCACCTGAACCCAACACTCCCCAGCCTAGAGCCCCCTCCCTGAGTCAACAGCCCTTTCTCCTGCATCCAATTTGCCTCCCAGAGCTTGTACTTCTCACCCCTTCCCACACCCAAATCCCTCATTCCCACCCCACACCTCACTCTCACTAGGTTGAGACAAGTATAAGGGCTGGGTATAGCAAGTGATTGCTTGACAAACGTAGGGTTCCTTGAAATTTTGAAAAGCTGAAAAGGGTTCCTCAGCCAAATAAAATTGGGAAACACTGCCCCAGGGGTTGCCGACCCCTGCTCTATACAGTAGATGATGTTGCCTCCCCTCCAGTTAAACAGCAGTTTTGGGGAGGAAAAATGAATTCAGAATGGAGTTACACTATTAAAAGAATTGCAAGCAATCCAGTTAAAATACTAAAAGATTTAGGATTCATGTCCAGAACAAGGTTAATGATCCAAATGACTTCTGCTATAATCACCAAAATCAGCATAAAAATGAAATAAAAGAAGCTAAGTCTTCTCTTAAATACCTACCTCTGGGAAAGGCCTGTGCATATGATCCCACTTAAGCAGCTTTAGATATGCCCGATTTTGTACAGCCACAGGACACAATGCAGAAACCACACTAGCAGCAGCTCCAGTGCCAGGGCAAGGTGGATTTGTATGCCTCAGTTTGGCAAGATCATCTGATGCTTCTTGCAACCAATCGGTGACAAAGTCTAGACAGTCTGAAAGGAAGTGTTTCGGTTAAAAAAAAAATCTTACTTTCAGGAGTCAACCTTCCTCCCCCGCCTGTCCATGAATAATTTTCAAATAATTCCACTAGTACGCTCTCTAACTATTCCAGGTGCTAATTACTGAGATGCGTTTTATTCATTTTATGATTCAAAAAAATCTGGATACCAAACACAAATGAATACGGAGAACCTCGTGGAGAGAAGCTACAAGTTACTCTGGCATACTACAGAGAGTTGGAGAGAGATACTGTGTGAGAGACTAGCACGTGGAAGCTGATTTAGAGAGTCGTATCTTATATTGATATCCTGGATCTGGGTTTGTTTTTTGGTCTTTTAATGCAGAATTGTTCCAGTAAATTTCTCTAATCAAAGCCTAGGGACCACAAGTATCACTATATGAATTATGGAGCAAACTATTTATTTTGGTGGGTTCTTTTGTTTGAGAAACAACATGCAATTTAGAGGAGGAAAATAATTCATACTTGGTTGCTTCTCAAAAATCTTCTGAAACTTCTGTCTTTCGTATTCAACAGACTGTTGCATTAAATGTGGCCTAATGCTACTAACAGCAAAGTTAGCCATGTCCATTTTCATTAAGTCTAATACAGAGAAAATTGCTCTGAAAAAGAAAAAAAAAGTTAGTTTTTCAAACAAGGCTGCACACGTTTAAAATGTACAATTTGCAAGACTTAGCACAAATTGTCCAAGGGAATGAACTGTTAAAAACTTTTAAAAAACATTCTATTATTAACCTGAACCCTGGGGAAAGAGCCATGGCAATGAGGCTTGTTCCCCTGTAAAGAAACTGAGAACATAGTAGAATCTTTTTCACAGATCAGTTCTCTTAGAACATAATTGTCGAGGATTATCCGGCCCTCTGACTACTACCCCATGCTACTCATCCATGTGGGCACAAATGATACTGCCAGGTGTGACACTGAGCGGATCAAGCGTGACTACAGGGCTTTGGGAGTACAGGTGAAGGAGTTTGGGGCGCAGGTGGTATTCTCTTCGATCCTTCCTGTCAAAGGTAGGGGCCCGAGCAGAGAGAGGTGCATCCTGGAGGTGAATGCCTGGCTGCGAAGATGGTGTCGCCAGGAGGGCTTCGGCTTCCTTGACCACGGGGTGCTCTTCCAGGAAGGACTGCTTGGCAGAGATGGAGTTCACCTTTCCAGGAGTGGGAAGGCCTTGTTTGGACACAGACTGGCTAACCTTGTGAGGAGGGCTTTAAACTAGGTTCGACGGGGACAGGTGAGCAAAGCCCACAGGTAAGTGCTGAATGTGCGGGACTGAGAGATGGGTTGGAAATGGGGGGGACTACTGCCTATAATGGCAAGGAGAAAGGAGGATCAGGGCACAACAGGGAGGCAAGATCAAATCAGTATCTTAGATGCCTATATACAAATGCAAAAAGTATGGGTAATAGGCTGAGTTTGGAAGCAGAGAGAGCAGGGGACACTGCCCCCCTAGTCTTTTAAAAGAAGAATGAACAGTTCTTCCCTGTTCATGTTTTTGTTTCTTCAACAGGGAAGAGTGGGCAGGTCTAAGACAAACATGCTGAGCACATTCTGTCAGGAAGGACAGACAGGGAAAAAAGGGAGGAGGGGTTGCCTTGTATATTAAAAATGTACACACTTGGACTGAAGTGGAGATGAACGTAGGAGATAGCTGTGTAGAGAGTCTCTGGGTTAAGCTAAAAGGGGTAAAAAACGAGGGTGATATCATGCTAGGAGTCTACTACAGGCCACCTAGCCAGGTGGAAGAGGTGGATGAGGCCTTTTTTAAACAATTAACAAAACTATCCAAAGCCCAAGATTTGGTGGTGATGGGGGACTTCAACTATCCAGACATATGTTGGGAAACTAACACAGCGAGGCACAGGCTATCCAATAAGTTTCTGGACTGCATTGGAGACAACTTTCTGTTTCAGAAGGTTGAAAAAGCTACCAGAGGAGAAGCTGTTCTGGATTTGGTTTTAACAAATAGGGAGGAACTAGTTGAGAACTTGAAAGTGGAAGACAGTATAGGGGACAGTGATCATGAAATAATAGAGTTCATGATCTTAAGGAAAGGTAGAAGGGAGACCAGCACAATTGAGGTTATGGATTTCAGGAAGGCAGATTTTGATAAGCTCAGAGAACTTGTAGGTAAGGTCCCATGGGAAGCAAGACTGAAGGGAAAAACAACTGAGGAGAGTTGGAAGTATTTCAAAGGGACGTTGTTAAGGGCCCAAAAGCAAACAATTCCGCTGTGTAGGAAAGATAGAAAATATGGCAAAAGACCAGCTTGGCTTAACAAGGAGATCTTGCATGATCTCAAAATAAAAAAGGAGTCATATAAAAAATGGAAACTAGGACAACTAACAAAGGATGAATATAGGCAAGCAACACGGGAATGCAGGGGCAAGATTAGAAAGGCAAAGGCACAAAATGAGATCAAACTAGCTACAGGCATAAAGGGAAACAAGAAGACCTTTTATAAATACATTAAAAGCAAGAGGAAGACCAAGGACAGGGTAGGCCCACTGCTTAGTGAGGAGGGAGAAGCAGTAACAGGGAACTTGGAAATGGCGGAGATGCTCAATGACTTCTTTGTTTCGGTCTTCACCGAGAAGTCTGGAGGTGTGCCTAACGTAGTGAATACAAGCAGAGAGAGGGTAAGTTTAGAAGATAGGATACACAAAGAACAAGTTAAAAATCACTTAGGAAAGTTAGATGTCAGCAAGTCACCAGGTCCTGATGAAATGCATCCCAGGATACTCAAGGAGCTGATAGAGGAGGTATCTGAGCCTTTAGCTATGATCTTTGAAAAATCATGGCAGACAGGGGAGATTCCAGAAGACTGGAAAAGGGCAAATATTGTGCCCATCTATAAAAAGGGGAATAAGAACAACCCAGGAAATTATAGACCGGTCAGTTTAACGTCTGTCCCAGGGAAGATAATGGAGCAGGTAATTAAGGAAATCATATGCAAACACTTGGAAGGTAATAAAGTGATAGGGAATAGCCAGCATGGGTTTGTGAAGAACAAGTCATGCCAAACTAATCTGATAGCTTTCTTTGATAAGATAACGAGCCTTGTGGATAAGGGAGAAGCGGTGGATGTCATATACCTAGACTTTAGTAAGGCATTTGATACGGTCTCGCATGATATTCTTATTGATAAACTAGGCAAATATAACTTAGATAGGGCCACGATAAGGTGGGTGCATAATTGGCTGGATAACCGTAGTCAGAGAGTTGTTGTTAACGGTTCTAAATCCTGCTGGAAAGGGATAACAAGTGGAGTTCCTCAAGGGTCTGTTTTGGGACCCGTACTGTTCAATATCTTCATCAATGATGTAGATATTGGGATAGAGAGTACTCTTATTAAGTTTGCAGATGATACCAAACTGGGTGGGGTTGCAACTTCTTTGGAGGATAGGGACATAATTCAAAATGACCTTAGCAAGTTAGAGAAATGGTCGGAGGTAAACAGGATGAGGTTTAATAAGGAGAAATGCAGAGTGCTCCACTTAGGAAGGAACAATCAGTTCCATACATACAAGATGGGAAGCGACTGTCTAGGAAGGAGCATGGCGGAAAGGGATCTAGGGGTCATAGTGGACCACAAGTTGAATATGAGTCAACAGTGTGATGCTGTTGCAAAAAAAGCAAATATGATTCTAGGTTGTATTAACAGGTGTGTTGTAAGCAAAACTCGTGAAGTCATTCTGCCGCTCTACTCTGCACTAGTTAGGCCTCAGCTGGAGTACTGTGTCCAGTTCTGGGCGCCACATTTCAAGAAAGATGTGGAGAAATTGGAAAGGGTACAGAGAAGAGTGACAAGAATGATTAAAGGTCTAGAGAAGCCTATGAAGCCAGGCTTCATGAACTGGGCTTGTTTAGTTTGGAAAAAAGAAGATTAAGGGGGGACATGATAGTGGTTTTCAAATATCTAAAAGGGTGTCACAAGGAGGAAGGTGAAAATTTGTTCCTCTTGGTTTCTGAGGACAGGACATGGAGTAATGGGCTTAAAGTGCAGCAGGGGAGGTTTAGATTGGACATTAGGAAAAAATTCCTAACTGTCAGGGTGGTCAAATATTGGAATAAATTGCCAAGGGAGGTGGTGGAATCTCCCTCTCTGGAGATATTTAAGAACAGGTTAGATAGACATCTGTCAGGGATGGTGTAGACGGAGCTTGGTCCTGCCTTGAGGGCGAGGGGCTGGACTCGATGACCTCTCGAGGTCCCTTCCAGTCCTATGATTCTATGATAATCACATGCTGAATGTAGGAAAGACTTGAGTTGTCAACCTAATATGAGGTTTACTGCTATGCATCTGTTTACTCTCTCCTATGTGAATCTTTGCTCCAAAATGGAGCTAACGGAGCCCTGGGCTACACCAGGGAGTTATTTCAAAATAACAAGCAGAGCATCCATACTACCTGGTTATTTTGAAATAACTCCTGCTTTCCACAAGGAATAACGCTTATTCCAAAATAGTTATTTTGAAATAGCAGTAGTGTGGATGCTCCATTGCTGCTATTTCGAAATAGCTCCTCCCCAGAGTCATTCAGCGTAATTACTCACCAGTGCTTCCTGGGGCTTTAAATTGAGGTAGTGAGTCCAAATTAATGGAGCCTATATGGGACTAATGTTGAGGCTTCCCAGTAGTGTGGACATGCTATTTCGCTGCAGGTTTTTTTATTATTATTTCAAAATAAGTTATTTTGAAATAATATTCTAGTGTAGACATGTGCTAAGTTTAAAGGTCATGGAAGAAATTAACTTCAGTGTCTACTTACGTGTGAACAACTTTTCCATTCTCCAAAAAGGTATTCTCTTTTAAGGAAACCCTTACAATTAGAGAATGTTAGGAAATATCTTAATCAGGCAAGAGAGACCAATGACATTACTGATGACTTTCAGGGGTGTGAATGGTTAACCCATAAGCATCACCCAGTTACATGATGCTCACCAATTATGGTTAACCTGTGGGCCAATGAAGTTCCTGGCCCATAGCAGATCCAGCCCAGCCAGAGCAGCCCCAGCCCCCATTTAATCGGTTAACTGGTTACATTTAACCAGTTAACTAATTAACCAGGATTTTACATCCCTATTCCCTGTAGTTGTTGAGATCTTCCACAATTTAATTTAAGTGAGATAGTAACAAAACGGAAAATGACATCTAAGCCCTATATACTTTCCTCGAGTGGAGGGAAGAATTGGCTGAAAAACGGAAAATGACATCTAAGCCCTATATACTTTCCTGGAGTGGAGGGAAGAATTGGCTGAAGAGCCTAAAGCTGAGGAAACACTTATTTTCTAAAGTATTCAATATATCAGCAGAAATTAAAAGTGAAGGAATTCACAATTTTTCTTAAATCAGTCTCTCAATATCCAGAACATTTTCTCTTATCTATGTATGACATTTCAGAAAGACTGTTTTCAAGGAGAAAGCTACAAACGTTTACCTTTAGCCCATCAGAACCAAAAGGGTCGTTGCTAATAGCTGCTGGAATTTTCTTCTTTATAAATTCTGCTGCCCCCTTCCCCGCTTGCTTTATATTTCTTAGAAAAATTTTTTGGCTAGCAGACTGTATGTTCCACAAGCATGCTCAGGCAAAATCTGGATAGTTAACAAGGATCTATAACCAAATACAATTAAGTGGCCCTCAGTGTGAATCCTTGCAATTCCATCATGTCATTCCAGTACCTGAATAGTGGGACTATTTCATGAATGTCTTTCAGTTTCTTAACTTCCTCATCTCTAGCTGGAGCACAAAGAGTCCCCATAATTACAATGATGAATTCTGCCAGCTTAGAAATGTCCAGTGCTCCATTCACTGCCTCCTGCTTTATCAGATCCAGATCTAGAACATCTGTAATCTGGTTTCTTAATCTAGTATGACCAGGTAACAAGAAGGATAGAAGAGCCTGAAAAATATAATTTTCATTGTATTAGTTTTTCACATTAAACATTACGTCACTGCCTTACAAAGGAACTGAATTAACAACCACCTTCAAAATGGATTTCTATGGCTCATTAGAGTTTACAAAATGTAGGGGCCACAAAAAATACACATCTTTTTAAAAACACAGTGTGCCTACATTCTATATAGTATTGGTAAAATGTAGGGGCCACAAAAAATACACAACATCTTTTTAAAAACACAGTGTTCCTACATTCTATATAGTATTGGAGTTTAGGGATGGCAATGTATAGACAACTATATGATTAACCAATAAGCATGGGCTTATGGATTAATCTTATCGACCACCCACACATTCCCCCCCTCCTTGCTGCCTCTGTATCAGAGGCAGCAGTTGTGGGTGGGAAGAGCAGGAGCTGGTGCCCATGAGGAGCTGGCTTAAAAGCTTGCTCTCTACAAGCACTGGATCTACCTCTCCCTTTCCCCCCGTGCTGCTGCCTCTGCTAGAAAGGCAGCAGCGCAGAGGGTAAGGGGGGCAGGGCGGAGCCAATATACACAGGCTCCCCATGAGTATCAGCTCCCGTGGACCTCTCTGCCCCATCCTTACAGCCGGGGACTAACCAACAAGATTTCATGCTGCTACATGACTATTCAATTACATGATATCTGACACCCATAGCGGTACTACTTAGATCGTATGCTCTTTGGGCCAGAAACTTTTCTTCACACTGGTGGGAAGAAGGCCAAATGGCTATGCAATATATGACATGTTCGAATTCTTTTTTGGCCTTCTGAATTACATTTGAAGAACAGCGAGCCAAAGACTCAAAGCAATAGTGAATAAAAACTTGTACATCAGTAGCAGGAAACCTGCTAAAAAAATGGTGGTACCAGTGGACAAGGAGGATTCAGTGGATGCAGTGTACTTAGATTTCCAGAAAGCCTTTGACAAGGAGCCTCACCAAGCTGTCATGGGATAAGTGAGCTCCTCTCATGGTTAATAATAAATGATCAGTTCTCACACTAGAAAGAGGTAAATAGTGTTTTCCCCAGGGGTCTATACTGGGACCAATCCTATTCAATAAAGAATGTGTTATTTACTCAGTCTCGTAACACAAGAACAAGAGGTCATCAAATAAAATTACCAGGGATCAGGTTTAAATACAAAGCAAAAGGAAGTATTTTTCACACAACAATCAACCTGTGGAACTCCTTGTCAGAGGATACTGAAGGCCAACATCATAACAGGGTTAAAAACAAACAAACAAACAAACAAACAAAAAACCACTAGATAAGTTCATGGAGGCTAGATCCATTAATGGTTATTAGCCAAGATGGCCAGTAATGGTGTCCCTAGCCTCTGTTTGTCAAAGTTGGGATTGGGCAATAGCAAATAGAACCTGTTCTGTTCATTCCCTCCGGGGCACCTGGCTTTGGCCACCATCAGAAGACAGAATACTGAGCTAGATGGACCATTGGTTTGACTCTGTATGGTCGTTCTTATGCATTGCCAAACCTAGACCGCGGCCTCAAGATGATATAATAATACACATAATTAAGGTCACATTTGCTTCTGCAACCTCAGAATTAAATTATCATCAGCTTAAACCTTCCCTTCATTTAACACAACTTGTCATTTCTTGCTTTCTTATGATTAATCCCCTTCCCATCCCCCAAGGTATGTATGCAGGCTATAGGCAAGGTTATCATTAGAGCCCTGCTCACATACAAAATTGGTTTCCGCATATGCAAAAATGATCCGTGGACACAAATACCCACGGATATAGAAGCAGATATCTGCAAATTTACAGGGCTCTAGCTATAGTCTAGACTTTTACAAAGTATTCCGCCATCTCTGTACAACAACTGTGTGTATATATTTTGCTTATTTGCCATGTAATTTCTGTAAATTACTTCTGATGTTAAATATTATTACCTCTTTAATCTCCCCCAGAAGTTTAATTGAATGATCATATGTTGGTGGATCTTCGCTTAACTGGGCTTCCAGACAATCCCAAAAAGCTTTATGTACAATCTCTTTTACAGTTTTCTCCAGGCTGTTGGTAAGCACAACAATATCAAAGGATGATAGTTAGTATATTACCTGTAATGAATTAGCAAGGTTTAGAGGAGAAGCAAACTGTCATTTTAATCAAGCACAGAAGCATATAAATTGGAATGATTTGGAATGGCTGGCATCACAGCAGAAAAGATACACGTATTCAAAGCAGATGAAAACAAAACAAGAGACCCTTAAAAACATCTAGGAAATGCTATTTCTAAATGTAATCTATAAAGAAAGGAAAATCATAATGTATTGCATGTTCACATGAACACCATCACTGTTTCTTAGCGATACGTAAACCATTAGCTTTCTAAAAGTGGTGCAAATTTTTAGGGTAAAATGTAAAAAGTAAAACCAGAACATAATAGCACTGAGGTAACAATTTGCTCCAAGAGCAGTCTAAGGGCATGTCTACACTTCAGATGCAGGAAGTGGTTCTTCCACTGGCAATCCTCCTCCCCAAGAATCAGTACCTAGGTTGACAAACCTTCTTCCAGCAACCTAGCACAATCTACGCAGGGACTCACGCTGGCTATGGGGTAAGGATTTGTCACACACCCAACCAATATAGTTAATCCAACAACATTTTCCAGCGTAGAACAAGCCTAAGAATACAGAAAAATAAAATAGTGGTGCTAGAATGAAGCAGCGAAAAGCTAAGAAACTCATCAGGATTCTTTTCAAACAATTATTCCCCCAAAGGATCTGCATATTCCACTCTTACATGCAAAGGATTGATATAAATGACTATTTTTATTGCTACTAGTAACCGTCTTACCTGCCTTCTGGAAATTCAGCAGGCGTAATCTTGAAATCTCTATTGACTACAATTTCATGTGCTAATGCCATATTGGAAACTCCTTTCGCCGTTTCCATCAGCTCTTCCATCGACACATGCCAAGGGAGACTAGCTGTAATATTAACAAATATCTGACATTTCATTATTCCTTCAGAAGCTGGAGGCAAGATCCTTCTCCACCCTTCTGGACCCCTTTCCATTTTAATTATACTCTTTACAGGGCATGGAGGGATCTTGTCTTCCAAAATATCTGTAAAGCCCTTATAATGTCACCATCAGCACTATGCAAGAGAACAGTTCCCTTCTCCACAACCTCCTTGCCCCCCTTTCCTGAAACCAGCATCTTGCTAATGATCCCAAAGTGTACCCTGTGTGCCAGTGCCACAGGTCTTCTCTTGTCACTCACCCCATATATTCAAAGGGAATCAGAGTTGCTCCAGCTCTCAGAGCATGGCAAGACGCGGGTTTGGAATGGCATGAGCACCCCTTTTCCTTAGAAAGTGTACACGTGAACGAGAGGGGAGCAGAGCAGCAGGACATCACACAAGGAGTAGGCCCAGCTTCTATTAGCTAGTAAAGGAAGGAGGACACTAGGTCCAGAATAGCGATCTTAAATATCAATTAATGGAATAGTCAATTAACCTCACCAATTCTGATCTGTTACTTGACTATTCTGTAGCCCCTGGGGGTGGAGCCAGCTGCCAATGCACTCCGGCCCCACTCCCGAGGAGTCCCCTGCCACTCTGTGTTGCTGCATCTGATAGAGAAGCAGAAGTGCGGGTTTCCAGGTGGGAGCTGGTCTGCGAGGGGAGCCAGTTTAAAAACCAGTTCCCCTCGAGGACCTGCTCTCTGTCACTCCTCACTGCTGCCTCTGAGGGTAGCGGGAGGTTGAGCTCCCGAACTCAGCATGAGCCAGAACTGAGCCGGCTGCCTGCCCACCTGGCTCCTAATACGCTTTAAATGCAGAACCACAGTGGGGTAGGTCCCAGACCTGGCACAAGCAGGACTGAGCCAGGATGCTGGTCAGCCTGCTAAAAAATTCACTGGTGGCAGCAGGGGGAAAATGCATGTAGTCTATAGCATTAACCTATAAGCTTTTGCTTATCAGTTAATTGCTTAATTGACTATACTCTAACATCCCTAGTTCCAAAGGCCAGTCCACGGATTGGCTCCGGGCCACAGCAGCTCTGGGGGCCAGAGGGGGGATACACCATCCAGC